TTTATTTCCTGATGTTAAAATAGAATCCAAATCCCAGCAATTTTAAGACCCAGTGCAACATGTCATAGCAGTGTGGTTTTCCCCACCGATATTGATTGATGTGCGGAATACCATATCTCAGTACTAACGTGTGTTAGGCCCAATCCCAAATCTACCTCTTAGCTCTTTCCCTTACCACTACCCCTCGTTTTGCGCAATCCCGTGAAGGGGTAGTGGTGTTCCAATTCTCTTTAGCTTGAAGGCGTAGAGCTAAGGGCATGGGTTATATAAGATTTTTAAGGACCACACTCGAAACCAAGGGGTAAGAAAATTTCCCAGAATACACTAGCCACAGCTGCACCCGGAAGTAAAGAGATCCACTAATTAGTATTTTTTGGCATTATTACAACAAACAAACACGTTTTAATATATTCATTACCGCATTCGTGTTTTACCATCATGCTGTTTAAAAAAAAGCTGAAACAAAAAACGCTACATTTTGTTATTTATAATCCCTAATAATAACACATGTACAGCAGTCCCACCACTCGATGACACTCGAATGCCCTGTCAGAAAAGTCTAGTGGCTGTCAAAGGGCTTTTTACAGTGTCTGCCATAATGTTAATGTTGTTTTTGTTGTGTTTAGATAGATTTAATATGGCCACTGTGTAAATGCACAGTACAGTTACGATCTTATTGCGACATTAGATCGTTATGATAACATAATATATGACTTCTGTGATTTCCTGAAGATAAAAACCAAAAAATAACACAACTGGAATAACTACAGCAGTCGTCATCGTCTGATCTCATATGAAGCAAGAGATTGTGATGACATATGATGACGTGTGCAGGTGCTGTAGTGCTGTCCCAATTCTTAGGGGTAAATTGTGTAGCCCTTCCAATTAACTCTCGGTTGTAAAGGCCAAGGGGAAGGGGAAAGGGTAGGGGTACAAAAATAGAATTGGGATTGGGCTTTAAACTAGTCCACAAAACAGAATTTTCAAAGAAACTGAGATTAAAAGATCTGTTCCAACTGTCTGTGATCCAACTGCACCTTAAGCAGAAGTAAGTACTACACTTTGTTTTTTTTTATAGGATTATGAAATGCTTTTTGAGCTACATAACTCATACCTCCCGGGAGGGGGATGTTAAATCCGGTTTAATTACAGTAATTAGCTATAATGTATTATTGAAGTTAACTTTATGGTGGGTATCCTGTCACATTTTTTACAATTTGATGAGTAAAAACAACGTAACCAAGGGCGTAGAATTGGCATGAATAGAGGGGACGTGTCCCCACCATTATCCACCAATTACTGAAATGTCCCTACCAATAATTTAATCGACTTCAAAATAAAATAATGCTCCGTAACACGTGTCAAGTTCACAACGAGTTCATCAACATACTATTAACCAAGGCTGTGCAATTAATCTAAATTCTGTTTTGATTTTGGCCTCCATGAAAATGGAAAACTATTATCGGTATAAAAGTTAAATTGCATCACACACCTCTCCATATTTGTCTACCTTCATACCTCCTTAAAGCTCAACTGCAGCAAAATCATGTTAATTGACTTCTGCAGTATTGGACATGATTGTTATTTGTATTATTAAGTGTTTATTTTATATTATCAAGTACTTTGTTTTTAAAAGTGCGGAACTGAGTTGCTGTTCAATTATGCGCTCTAGGATGTACGCCCCACCAATGTCAAGAGGTAATCTATGCCCTTAAGTGTAACATGTTAAATGCGTGTGTGTGTTTGTGTGAATGTTGTAATGGCATTTGTGTGTTCCTTGTGTTTATGTAAATGTTTTAACAGTATTTGCATGTTGCTCATTAATCTTACAGTGGTATTTGTGACTCTGGGTCTCAGTTTCATCGTGTCATTATTTCGTCCACTTGCAGTCTGTCGTTTTCTGCATTTATCCTGACATCTGACCACGTTTATCTTAATCTGAAGCAAAAGAGTGGGCCGGGAGAACCATCTCATTTTAATTTAAAGGCACAGAGGCCAAAACAGCTACAATTCCATCTGACCAAAAAATTGACGTTTTTAACAGGGAAAATAAATGATCTGATGGGCATTTTAGCCTTAAACTTCACAGACACATTCTGGAGACCAGATCTTGTAAAAAGCCAACATTAGAGCACTTTAATATTTACAAAGAATGATCTTATTCCTACCCAAGGCCTAAACCCAATCACTACCTTACTATTAATAGGGAGCAAGTTAGTAATTTATTGAGCTTAAAGAATTGTACCTTTAAAAAAAAGGTAACTAAAATTTCAATTTCTGTAATTAATAACTTGGTTAATGCAAATTGAAATGACAGAAATTGATGAAATTATCTGAACAATTTTTGCTTCAAAATGAATAGAAACAAATACAAAAAAAGTGGCACCTGAAATGCCAGTCTTCTTAGATAGCATATAGTCAGAAAAGTGGCTAATTGGTATGATTTTATTCGAATGAAAATGTATGAAAGAAAAGAAAACGTTAACTCCAACCCCTCCACCAGCACCTCATCAGGGATTGTGCTAAAATTGTACAAAAATTTTATAACAACAACTAAAAAAAGAGCTGAATACAAACAAATTAGCCACCAAATCAAAAAGTTATGAATTGCTGCGGGATTGCGCTAGATTTAACACGAGATCTCAAGTCACAAAACTTGGAAAGAGAGAAAAAAAAGACAACTATGATTACAAATGAAGGTACCTTTTATTGCAAACATTTGAGGACTTTGGCACCTGCAAGGCACAGAATACACTTCCATGAGAGTACAGAGTCGAACGGGTCTGCAAAGGAACTGGGGAAAATAATTATTTCACTTTCACATAGGGAACTCCTTTCACAGAAAGGACAAAGTCTAGCTGCAGACACAAAGAGTTAACAGTACGTGGAGCCCAAGTATGATGGGTTATCATCCGACACAAGCGATCGGCCTCCGTGAACTCCAGCAGCAACCAAATTTACTGTTAAGACGGCCATTTCCAACCCACTGCGGCTTTTCAAAGGGGCAGAGAGATGAATGTAAAGACTGATCAGGACATCTATAGGTAATAAAGTCATGCACCTAGGCAAAGAAGAGCAAAACTGCACTCATCTTCTTCATGTTTAGGGTCTACCTTCCTTTAAATGGAGTGTGCACACGCTTTCTTTCTTGCTTAGATGAAAGAATAGAATGTTCCAACCTTTTTTATAAGGTTTCTAATACTGTCTCCCATTAACAGCTTAATACTGACAGGCAACACACCATTAACACACACACACACACACACACACGCAGCAGTCATTTTTTCTATAAAACTACATAATAAAGAAATATTAACTTCCAGTTTGACATAAACAAAGGCAACAGATAGATTAAGATACTGGGAAAGTCTATGGAAGACTTGATTTAGATTTTCTTTTTCCGCCCTTGATCAGGCGGTTTGTGCGCAAACGTCTCTACATCAAGAGAATGAAATTCCATCAGTCTTTCGACACACCCGACACCAGGCCCTCTGATTATGATGCACACATGATTCAGTACCACAATCCCAAAAAGCTCATTAGGTTTAGTGTTATTCTTGGAGACGGGACTGGGGCGTTACGTCGACGAAGCTGCGGGAGTGCAGAAACTTTAGTTTTATATTCAGAAAACCTGCATAGTGAATTCAAGGCACTGAGGGTTTACACACAAACACACACACACACTTTGGTAAGGCAGCTTTTTTCTTGGTTTTGAGGATTTTCATGATGCAAATTCCCTTGATTTCTTTTTTTATATATACACAGACGCATACTAAATGATCTTAAAGGGATAGTTAAACCAAAAATGAAAGATTCTGTCATCATTTATTCACTGTAATGTCATTCCAAAACCCAAACCTGTATGATTTGTTTCTTTGTGGAACACAGAAGATATTTAGCAGAGTGTACCTGCTGCTCTTTTCTGTAAACTGAAATTAAAAAGTAACTGGAACTTGTGAAAGTGTTCTCATAGCACATATCACATCAGTGTTAAGTAGCACCTGAAATCCATAAAAGTGCTTATATGGCTTTAAAAGATTTGAAGAATGATATTTTATAAGTTTATCATGAATAAAGATTTGAAATAATAGTCAAGAGTTGATGTCATATTGAATTTAAAGGTATAGTCAACTCAAAATTGTAAATTCATTGTGATAGTTCACCCAAAAATGTCAAATCTGCCATCATTTACTCATCCCTCACTCGTTCAAAACCTTTTTTTGTTTGGCTTCTTTCTTTCTTTCTTTCTTTCTTTCTTCTGTTGAACAAAAAAGAAGACATTTTGAAAGATGAAGGTAGCAGGTACCCAATGACTTCTATTGAGAAAGAAACTTGTAAAAGTTTAAAACCGGTCTCAAACTGGATTTCTGGAGGGCCACAGCTCAGCAGTTTTTTTTCTTCCAACCCTGATCAAACACAACTGATCCAACTTATGAAGGTGTTCAAGACTACTAAAGACTATTAAACAGGTGCAAGTTGGTGCTAAACTATGCAGAGCTGTGGCCCTCTAAGAATGAGTTTGAGACCATTGGTTTAAAACCACATTACTCTCACAGCGAGAGTAAAGGATGAGGTCATTTTTGAAAGTCATCATGTGCTCACTCTGCATGTCTTTGCTCTGTAGAACAGAAAAAGAAATATTTTGAAGAATGTTGACAACTTGAGTTTCAGTTTCCACTTTATGGACAAAAACACACAGGAAATCGACGGAAACCAAACTGTTTGGAAATCAACATTCTTCAAAAAACTTTGTGCTCTGCAGATAAAAATGCCTTAATGTCAATGAAAACAAGAAAGTGATAACGCAGGACCTCATAACTTATGATTTTATACATTCTTTTGTACTAAATTGCTTTTAGATGTTAAAAAAACAAGAATATAATTGTACCCAAATAAACAGTACAGAGTACACACTCATGTTATGTTTTAAAGTGTGTCATAAATGGGCATCTTAAAAGATGATGCCACACAATATTATGTTTATGATAGCTTTTGCATCCTTTTTTTTATTGTAACAGCATTGAAAAATGCAACCGGCACAGCCGTCAGAAAATCTTTTGTGTTCCAGAAAGAAAATCAATTTAGGAAGGTCTCTAGAATGACATAAGCGTGAGTAGATAATCACACGATTTCCGCATTTTCCCATCCCTTCATTTGTTCTGGGGCACTTTTACAATTCTCTCTGCCTTACACCACAAACTCTGGTTCTGCTTCTGTGGTCAGGTGGCCAGTGGTCAGATCTTCTCGGTCTAGATCCAGAGAGAAATACTTGCTGGTTCTCTTGATGGGGAATGGGTGCTGGTTATTTCGGATGCCAGCGCACTGATCCGCAAGTCCCTGATATCCACAGCCGACCGTTCCGCCGAGGTCTGGCTCGCAGCCGAACGTATAGCTGTGTGCGGTGTCCTGGCAGAGCTCTGCCCACTCCTGACAGTCCCTCTGGAAGAGGCGAACATCATCCAGTGATTGGCTGTGCCGGTCTGTGGAGCTCTGAACCTTCCTGCCCATCGTCGTCTAATGAAACGAGACAAGAAAACACACATCAGCACAGGGGAAATAAAAAAGCTGCATGAAAACATAGAAACCACCCTGGTGAGAAACAAAATAGAGTCAATCATAGAAATTTTAATGGAAACTACATTAGCTTTACTGGACTTTATTGGACTGACAATTCGGTAAAAACTTATCAAAATAAATAAATCAATCAATTTAAAAATACGTAAATCCTAATGGAATGTTTAGCAAAACACATTAGAAACTATTGCTGCACGATATTGGATATTGGAACATTTAGTTTGTCTGTTATATATATTGCAATATAAATAGAATTTCACAACATGACTTATAACTGTTAGATAACATAGCATTTTACAATGATTGGGATGATTTTGTAGAGGAGTATCTGTCACAATCGTCAGCAATCTAGGCCTTGCAGATTGTTGGACAACTTGCACTATTAACCGGACTACAATTCTGCCACTGAAATAATCTACGACTCCCATCATTCCTTGCACTCACACACCTAGCCCAGCTCTACCTTGATTGCAAACACACAGCTGAAGCTTGTGAGGACTGATTACCCAAACTATAAACATCACACGCACGTGCACACACACACAAACCTTAGCTGAGTCTTGTTGTTTGTAACATTTCTAAGCGTTATTCTTGTCTTGCCCTTCCGTGTTTTGACCAAGGTTTTGTATATCCTTCCTGTTGTTTTTGCCACCTGCCCTGATTATTTGCCTGCTTTCGTCTGTGCTCTTGCATTTCCTTTATACTCCTGTTTGCTCATGTTTTGACCATTCCATGCCTGATTAATCTCTTAAATAAACTGCATATGGATCCTCACCTTCGTTGTCACCCAGTCTCACTGTTACAATCTGCATAAAATACAATACAATTGAACAGATATAAATTAACCTTATGTTTTTTTTTCTGTGGAATCTAACAGCATTAAGGTACAAAAACTCAATAAAAACATAAAATAACACTGCATAGCGTAGATTCTTCGTTGTATAAAGAATTAAATACAATTAATTTAGATTTATATACCTTTGCAATCTATTAATTTAAGTTTGCTTAAATTTTACACAGTCACAATCACAAAAACACTTCCAAATGAAAATCTTTTGTTCTATTTTTGTTTTAAATTTGTGATGACCCTCCCCAAAAATACCATCACTGTGGTGCTGATTATCAACTATAATTCTAATTTAACAATGCAGATCCTGCGATGTGAGTTTTGCAAATTCACACGTTGCAATATCTATGCTGAAGCGATATATTATGCAGCCCTATTAAAAACCATCAAATTCCTCTGGTATTAATGATAAAAATTTCATGGTTTGTAATATTTGAATGGTATTTGTACTGAAATCCATTACAACTTCTGTGATGGTTTTTCTTGTTGATTTTTCAGCAGGTCACCGCCTACACTAACTCTTAGTTAGCCCTGAAATCTCAGAGAGCGTTGAGCTGTACACTCACATGAATACACTGATGAGAAAGAATGCAAATGTGGTTTGGAGTAGGGTAAGGCTGCCCTAAACAAATACTGTTAAGAGAAGTGGGGTTACCAGCACTGTTAAAAGAGATTAAAGGATTAATGGAAAAAAACAATGATACAGCACGAAATGTCCTCGCTTTCACTTCGGCGGTCATGTAAAAGATATAAGGTGTGTGTGTGTGTGTGTGCATATGTGTAGCTGCACCTGAGGAAGACATTCGATGCTCTGGCCTCTCATTCTCACTACAGTCTCCGATGAGCTGGATGTGGAGGAGCTGACTTCCTTCACCACTAGCCCTGAAAAGAAAGAGCAAACACAAAACACAAGAGGCCATTAAAATAGTCATACGCAAGATATTTGAAAGTTACTAGTTAGTAAAAATACCAATACTAGTTTAGTGTGGATTTTGGGCCATTAAAACGGTCCACATTGTACACTTGCACTAAATGAGAGAAATAAAATCCTGAAATGTTTTCCTCCCAAAATCTTGGTTTCTCTATGACTAAAGAAAGTCAGTCATCTACTTGGATGACCCGAGGGTGATCACTGTGCATTATTAACAGGCAAAGAGCAACAAGCTTTTTGTAAAGCATTAAAAAGACCAATTTCTAGCTATTTAAACGTTTTAAAGGCAAAAGTAGAAAAAAATCTTAAATGTATAACAATTTTTTCCAAAACCTCTGAAAATCCATTTATAAATGTAAATATTGGTACTGTACTCTGGGCAACTCTCACAAAGAATATGACTGGCAAACTGACTATAAGTTTGGATTAAAAGGTAAAAAAGTAGGGTAAAGTGCTGATGCCTGTCTGCACAGATGACTTAGTGCTAATTTACACACCTGTCAGCAACAGGCGTTGTTGATACACCTGTCCTGAACCCACTAATTAAAAGGTGTACGCTGTATATTTTAATCTTGGCACTATAGATAAACGCACACTTCACCCCTCAAAACATCTATTTAGCACAATCTTGATATATAACAATATTGAACATTTTACTATGCTAGATATTACAACAACAGTAATTTATTACAATAATACTTTTAATAACTTATTTCTGATAAAACTGATACCATTTCTAATAAACTTTCTAATTTCTTTCATCTTTGCCATGATGACAGTATATAATAATTTACTAGATATTTTTTAAGATAATAGTATTCAGCTTAACGCGCAATCTAAATGCTTGACAAGGTTAATTAGCCAAGTCATTGCATTACGATGGTTTGTTCTGTAGACAATGTATAAAAAAAATGTTGCTTAAAGGGACTAATAATATTGTTCTTAAAATGATCTAGCTTTTATTCTAGCTGAAATAAAACAAATAAAACTTTATCCAGAAGAACAAATATTATAGGAAATATTGTGGGAAAATGCTTTGCTAAACATCAGTTGGGAAATATTTGAAAAAGAAATTCACAAGACGGCAAATAATTTTGACTTCCACTGTACATACACACACACACTTCTGTGACTATACTTCAACATCATTAATTCAGTCTTTAATTACCTTCAAATCTAAATCCAATTCCCAAACTATCATGAGGATTTTCAGAAGAACCTTTTGCTATTAAACAAATTCTGTCACTTTTTATTAATTGAATGAATAAATTCAATATTATTGATTTCTAGCTTGTAATAATATATGATACAATCCTACCGGAGCATCCGTTGTTCTGTGCTGACAGCATGTCCTCTGTGATGTGGATGCACAATTCCTGGCTGAGCTCCAAATCATCAAGATCTTCACAACTTTTAGGATCATCAACCAACATCTCGATCTCTAAAGAAACACAAACAAACACAGACTCTCAATGCTGACTGAATGCTACTGCCTTAAAATGAACTTTGTAAATTCAGGAGAATCCTACACTATCTGACAAAAGTCTTGTTGCCTATAAAAGTTTTAGGAACCACAAATAATAACTTTACTTATCGTTGATCATTTGGTATCAGGAGTGGCTAATATAAAAAAGCCAAATACCTCTAGATTACGCTTATTTTACTAAAATAAAAATATGATCAAGCCCTGATTTTAAATTATGTAATTAGGACAGTAAGGTCTGACTTTGCTTAGACAAAAGTTTTGTCACTTAACTGAAATAATATACAGTATAGAATATAAAGTCATGCTGCAGTGAAAAAAGAATAATTATTATGTGTGACTCCCATGAGCTTGGAGAACTTCATCCATACATCACTGTAATGACTCAAATAACTTATTAATAAAGTCATCTGGAATGGGAAAGAAAGCGTTCTTGCAAGACTCCCTGAGTTCATCAAGGCTCTTTGGATTAATCTTTAATGCCTCCTCCTCCATCTTACCCCAGACATGCCTAATAATGTTTAAGTCTGGAGACTGGGCTGGCCAATACTGGAGCACTTTCTTTCTCTGCTTTTTAGGAACTTTGATGTGGAGGCTGAAGTATGAGAAGGAGCACTATCCTGCTTAAGAATTTGCGCTCTTCTGTGGTTTGTAATGTAATGGGCAGCACAAATGTCTTGATACCTCAGGCTGTTGATGTTGCCATCCACTCTGCAGATCTCTCGCACACCCCCATACTGAATGCAACCCCAAACCATAATTTTCCTTCAGTAAAACTGACTGATTTTTGGATTCATGCAGGTTCCAGTAGGTCTTCAGCAGTGTGTGTGATGATTGGGATGCAATTCAAGAGATGATTCATCAGAAAAATCTACCTTCTGCCACTTTTACAAATAATTAACTAGAAGTCAAGTTATTATTTGTTGCTCTTAAAACTGAAATCGACGACAAGGCTTTTGTCGGGTAGTGTTTGTAGAACTGACATTATATATTTACTATTTATTTCAATTATAAAAATGTATAAGTCGGCACCCCTAACCAGTCAGTCTGTTACAACGTCATCACAACAAGATTTGAAGAATGTACGCACTTAAATCACATCACATTTTTGTTCATACTGGTATTACCAATATAATAAGTAACACATTCATGCAGTCTCCTACCGTCTTCATCCAGGCAGTGCTCTTTGCTGCTGCTCTCGATGCCAGACGTGTGTGTGCTGGCATGACTGGTGTTGGAAGACGAGTGTGTTCTCAGCGGACGGTGGGGTGTGTTTGTAGGGGTCCGGAAACTGTCTGTGTCGACGCCGGATGTGCGGGAGCTGCCATGACTGGTGGTGGAGTGCCGTGAAAAGGGATTGGGTCGTGATGTGCTTCCCGCACTGCTGCCGCTGGCACGCGAACGCTGCTCCAAATGATCCATGTCCGCCTCCAGAGCATCACTGATATACGACTCCCGGTACTGCTTCTTTTCTGAGAAGACACACACACACACAAACACACACGGAGATTAATGTCAACCATATGCTCCAAGTCCTTAGTGAAGCAAAACATGAAACTTTTCTCTCTTTTTTTGTTGCTGTTGTTGTTCAGTTGTTATGGTAGTAGTACAAGCAAGAGAGAGAGAGAGAGAGAGAGAGAGAGAGAGAGAGAGAGGTTCTTGCTGTCAAATAGAGATGTTTGTGAAATCAGTTAATGAATATTTTCATGCTAAATCAATATACATTTGTGCTGTGAATTAATTAGTACATTTACTTGTAAACAAAATAAGTATATCAGCAAACCAAGTTGCACAAATATAAAACAAAAAATTATTTTCACTCAGAAACAATAGAAAATTTCTTAAATAATTTGAGAAAGCAAAATGAAAGCCAACACATCAAATTAAACTAATCCTTAAACATGAAACATTCATGCTCTGAATTAATTTGTAAATTTAATTGCAAATACAGTGACTGTGTCAGCAATACAAGCTGGAGATAAATATTATTATTATTATTATTATTAGCTCAGAAACAATTACAATTGAAGGTAACAAATTGAACTAAATGACATTTGAAGCGAATCAAATAGTATTTAATTTTAAAAATGCACTAAAATCAGCTGTTTTATTTACAATTCTACAACTAACAGTATTTTTAGAGTGAACATGTAACTAATAGATGGTCAATTGTTTATTTGGTTTCCGACATATCCTATGCACTCAACTAGCATGTACTTAACCTTATGACACAATAATATATTATATATATATATATATATATATATATATATATATATATATATATATATATATATATATATATATATATATATATATATATATATATATATATATATATATATACACACACACACACACACACACACACACACACACATACGTACATATATACATACATACATACATACATACATACATACATACATACATACATACATACATACATACATACATACATACATACATACATACATACATACATACATACATACATACATACATACATACATACATGTTGGTGCACTGCAATTACATGTTAACATCTTACATTTAAATAGCACTGGATACACAATTTTAGTGATGATTTGGTTTTATATGGCATCTACATGTGGCAGCGCAGTGGGTAGCACTGTTGCCTCACAGCAAGAAAGTCGCTAGACTGAGCCAGTTGGCATTTGTGTGTGAAGTTTGCATGTTCTCCCCATGTTCGCATAGGTTTCCTCCACATTTCCAAAGACATGCGCTATAAGTGAATTGGTTAAGCCAAATGGTTCTTAGTGTATGTGTGTGAATTAGAGTGTATCTGTGTTTCCTAGTGATGGGTTGCAGCTGGAAGGGCATTCGTAGTGTAAAACATATGCTGGAAAAGTTGGTGTTTCATTCTGCTGTGGCAACCCCAGATTAATAAAGGGACGAAGCCAAAAATCAAATGAATGAATGAATAAACAGCATTTACATGGATTAAGGTAAGTTTTATTGAAAGGTAATGCGGCTCAGATAACCATTTGCAGATGAACATGGCTATAATAGCATGTCGATGATAGTAAATAACCTTGGCTCAGCAGTAAATGTTTCAGAACAAAGTGGTTACAGGAAATTTAAAGTCTTGGAAGGTTTTAATGTTAGTAAATAGTAGTTAAGTACATATAATATAAATTGTGACCATTAGTTTTAACACCTTGCTTGATTTAAAGGATCGTTTACGCCAAAATAAAAATGAATAATTTTCTCAACCATGAACTATCCAGCAAGCACAGTCGGAATAGTTTTAATTTTTACCAGAGCTCCTTCATGCTGTATAATGGTGTTGGGTAGTGGCTTATTTTTCGAAAAATATAAATCCATCATCAAATTAACCTATAATCCGACGGTGGGTTGACGCATATCTTATGAATCAGACCCATGTGTTTTTGTACCAAAAATGTTTATAATTTTGAAATTATAAACTCAAATCACACACGTCCGACCTGCTGCCAAATCCACATCCTCGACATACATGACTCCACACGTGATGTAAAATCGCATTCATAGAAAAAAATTTGGTGATAGCAGACGAATGAAGATAACTACATGCTTGTAAATAACTGAAAGTGGAAAATGTCAGAAGATATTGTGTAGCAAGCGATTTAAACAAAATGTGTCTAATCCCAGAACTTCCACTTCAAATGCATCATACACCTAGTCAAGAAATGGGTTAGTTTGACAACAGATTTATAACTATTTCTAAGATATAAGGTATTTTTTTTTAGAACTACTTTGAAAAAATATTTTTTAAAACTACTCAGTGTTTGTTTGAAAGAAAAAAAGTCATATACACCAAGGATGGCTTGAAGGCGGATAAATTATTGGGAAATCTTCATTTATGGGTGAACTATTCCTTTAAAATGGGTATTAACTGTATCTCATGTGCATTATTTCAGCTATTAGCTACTGTATGTTGCAACAAATAAATTTTGCATATTCTCCAAATACCTTCATTTTCCTCCAGCCGCCGCACCTGTTTGAGCACAGGCTGCAGGTTCATGTACAGTCGGTGGCTGTTGCTGAGCAGCTGCAGGAGGTGTCGAGAGCGCAGAGGACAGCCTGTGTAGTAGATCAGCTTCCTGGCAGACGGCAAACCATCAGGGAGAATCTCAAACCTCTTACCCTGTGGAAACAACATGGGTCAACTTATCACTCCTCTGAAAACTCTATGGGTCTCATTTATAAACACACAAAACAGCGGCTGAAATGTGTGTCAGCCACTTCCCAAACAAAGGTTGTGCTTTATAAAAAATAAACTTTAAGGGAGAATGTGCGCAGTGGTAAGTAAACGCATTTAACCTAAATATTGATTTAATTGAATCATTTAAAGTCATTATATGAGTTTTAATCATTAATAAAACAAATTACTTATTCTGGTATACATTTACACTTAGGAAGGTTTCTACGAAAAGTTTCATAAATGAGACCCTATAACCCTAATAATCCAAATGACACCAAATTATACACAGTCATATCACCCTGGAGCCCGAGACCATACTCGCTGAAGCTAAGCAGTGCTGAGCCTGGTCAGTATCTGGATGGGAGACCACATGGGAAAACTAGGCTGCTGTTGGAAGTGGAGTTAGTGAGGCCAGCAGGGGGAGCTCAACTGTGGTCATTAAAAAAACCCATGGCACTTCTCTTAAAGAGTAGAGGTGTGACCCCGGTGTGCTGGTCAAATTCCCTCCATTGGCCTTTACCCATAATGGCATCCCAATCATACCTATCCACCGAATTGACTCTATCACTGTCTCTTTGCTCCACCTATAGCTGGTGTGTGGTGAGCGCACTGGTATCATTGTCCCTTAGGCTGCTGTCGCATCATCCAAGTGGATGCTGCACACTGGTAGTGGTGTGGAGAGATCTTCTTCATGATTGTGAAGTGCTTTGGGTGTATGGCCATACACAATAAATGCACTATATAAATACACACGTTACAATACTTCTATTCCTTTAAAGATACAGTTCACCCAATAACGAAAATTATCTATTATACTGATCCTTTACTTGTTCCATACGGGTTTGAGTATTTTTTTTTTCTGTCGAACACAAAAGAAGATATTTTGAAGAATGTTGTAAACCTGTAACCATTTACTTCCATAGTAGGAAAAAACAAATGCTATAGAAGTCAATGGTTACAGGGTTTAAGCATTCTAAAAAATATCTTCTTTTGTGTTCATTAGTTGTTTAGAACAAGTAAGTTGTTTAGAATAAGTAAATTATGATAGCATTTTTATTTTTGGGTGAACTATCCCTTTAAATTCATACTTCTAAAAAGCACTGTAATACTGACCACAAACACCAGCTTTCCTACATTGGTCCAAGGAAAATCGTACAAGAGTTGCCTGACTGTTCCCACATTCTGGAAAAAAATAAAAATAAAAAGTCATTATAATCAATAACATAAATAATAAATACACAATATGTTATATAAGAGCTGTATTTTTACATTTTCTCTACCAAATAGGTGTTCAAAAAGCATACCTGAAAAATCTGAATCCCACGTAAGGTCAGTCCCAGAGTTAAAGAGGCATCCAGCTCTTTTTTATCCTGACAGAAAGAAAATATCACGTTTTTAAAAACTGTCTGAGCACTCTCCAATACAATGAAAAGTTCTTCTCTGACCTTGTAAAGGCGGTAATAATGAACAGCCACGTCATCCAAGAGCGCTGCTTCCTTTATGTACTTCAGCTGAGCCTCTGATGCTGTACAAGCAAACTGCTCTTTGTGCATGTTGGGAATATGGCGGAGAATATAGTCACATCCTCTCTTTGCGATTACCTACAAAAGACAGAACCTGAATAATGAAACCACACCTTCTGACTGTTATTCTGGATTACTGCATTTATAAAGTATTTAATGGAGACTGGAGCGGTTTAAAGCAGAATAATATATTTTTTCATTTGATTTCTCCTGAATCTGAAGTTTTCACCATCACTATATTCAAAATTGCTGTTTTAATAGCCTTTTTGTATGTAGTTCAGCAAGCAGCAATTTGCACTATTTATTGAACAATTTCAGTTTATCTGTGTTATTTTAGTAGTTTTTATTAATATTTTTCAGGTTTTTGTTTTGTTTAATTATTTGTGCTTTAATATCTTTTCATTTTAATTTGTTTTAATAATTTGTCTGGAAATTGTAACAATGTTACGTTTTTGTTGCAAAGAGATGTAATTCCCAATATCAGTAAGACATTTGTCATTTTTCCAGCTTTACAGTTTAAATTCCCTAATCAGGGATAAAAGAGGAAACACAAATGTCTTCTTGACAGTAACAGAACAACATATCCCATTGCATTATCTTACATCATTCATTCCAAAACTATTTACAGAAAAAAAGAAGTGTGGAAATCATATTTACAGTAAATATATATATATTTTAAAAGTTCTATAGCAATAAGATATTAGGTTGAATGGGAGTAATGTATTCAATCCAATTGGTCCAGACGTCACCACATTATGTAATTCCCTCCATAATGAACTTATTTTTAAAATGCCAATCCAATCTTGCATTTGTGATGGATTAGGTTTATACCAGCATTTAGTAATAGTTTTTTTTTTTTACTTGAAGCAAGGATGATTCTATACAAATTACTTGTTTTTCCTTTTTAAAAAAATCCAATGACAACTTACCTAAAATAAGCTGAAATCAACTGAGGTATTTAAGATTTTTTCTAAAATATTGAGACGTGAATGACATGTTTCATATTTTTATGTTTCTATGGTTCATTTATTTAAATTCATTTTTTGTTTAAAAGAAAAAAGGAGATACTCTTTTCTAATATAGATATGTTTATATGAATATACACTCACAGGACACTTTATTAGGTACACCTGTCCAACTGCTCATTAATGCAAATTTCTAATCAGCCAATCACATGGAAACAACTAAATGCATTTAGGCATGTAGACATGGTCAAGACTGATCAGCTGCAGTTCAAACCGAGCATCAGAAACTTGAGGCAGATGGGCTACAGCAGCAGAAGACCACACCGGGTGCCATTCCTGTCATCCAAGAACAACACACTGAGGCTACAATTCGCATAGGTTCACCAAAATAGGACAATAAAAGATTGGAAAAATGTTGCCTGGTCTGATGAGTATCAATTTCTGCTGTAACATTCAGATGGTAGGGTCAGAATTTGGCATCAACAACATGAAAGCATGGATTCATCCTGCCTTGTTTCAACAGTTCAGGTTGGTGGTGGTGGTGTAATGGTGTGGAGAATATTTTCTGAGCACACTTTGGGCCCATTAGTACCATTTGAGCATTGTGCCATTGCCACAGCCTACACGAGTAATGTTGCTGACCATGTCCATAAAGTGCGAATCATCTCAGACTAGTATCTTGAACATGACAATAAGTTTACTGTACTCAAATGGCCTCCACAATCACTAGAGCTCAATCCAATAGAGCATCTTTGGGATGTGGTGGAATGGGAGATTCGCATCACGAATGTGCAGCCAATAAATCTGCAGCAACTGCATGAAGCCATCATGTCAATACGAATCAAAATCTCTGAAGAATATTTCCAGTACCTTGTTGAATCTATGCCATGAATAATTGCAGCAGTTCTGAAGGCAAAAGAGGGTCTAACCCGGTACTAGTAAAGTGTACCTAATAAAGTGGCCGGTGAGTGTGTGCACGCTCATTTAAATCACAAAGTACTGTTTTGTGGTACATTTTACTGGTCAGCTGTGGCAAAATGCTAATTTTTATCACTTATTTTAACAAACCACCATTATGTATATTTTTTGCAGAAGCAACTTGAACTGTTTGAATAAATTAGACAGACATACTGCAGATATAAACATAGTAGTCAGCCTTGGTTAAGGTAATGTCCCTGAACATTTAAAATAAAAAACACTGTGCTGTAATCTGTTCACCAGCTCAGTCTGCATCATCCTGCAGTAAATGTGCATCTCTCTCCATGTGAATCCAGATGATAGCAGAGCACAGCAAGCCTAAAGCTAAAGCACCCACAAGATACTCTTAAAAGCTTCAGACTATTTTTAACCTCAATCCTCTCCATGCACTGATAAATAATGTCCTTCTTATACAAAAAGCTCCGTTAAATGTTGCTGAAGCATTGAAGAACAGCACAGCGTGGGGCATAAAGCACACACACGAAGCGGTGGAAGTGTGTGCACATTTAACAGGCTTGATCAGCGGAATGATTCATCAGGAAGCAGTTTAATGGGGTGCAGCGCAGACTCACCCAGGAGGGAAAATAAGCTTCCGGCTGGAAATAGGCACCAAAGTGTTTGTTCCGTTTGAAGTTTCCCAGGTCAGCCTGAAGTGCGAACGCAGCCAGAAGGAAATAAGCCTCCTCTCTCTGGATGCACTGAGACTGCAGGACCTGCTTCCGCAAGTGCCAGTAATAATAATACCGTGCAACGCGGTCACTAAAACAGAAATACAACATATTCAATCATCTTCATATTGACATTTTGCATGTACACAATGGACTTAAAAAGTTTGAGGTCTGTTCATCTATTATTCATTACTGAAGTTTCAAAGATTCAAAAATATCAAATATTATTACAAATTAAAACGGATGCTTTTTTATTGTAATACCATTTAAAAAGTGATTTATTCCTTGGGTAATTGACCTTCGCTAAGCCACGCCCAAAAACTGCCACCCACCAATCTTGGCTTAGCAACTGTAGCTACGTGCAGGGGCTCTGTCAAGCTTTCGAGCGAGTGCATATGGATTGTGCAAATCTGATACCCGGTATCCTTAAAGTTTGGACGGGATTGTGGAATTTTTTCCCTTTTCAAAACCAAAAACCCAAGAGGAAAAATGCCAGCGTGGATCAAGCTCTGTGAGGGGCACTAAAGGAGTGGAGCTAAGTTGGTTTTGTTTTGATATTCCTGACACATTCAGGGATAGACAGATAACTCACACACCTCTTACCCTAAACAGATCTAAACTGTGTTTCCTACAAAAACACAAAGCTGGTTATGTTTCACAGCTGTCTTATTCCTTTTTTTCGCTCGATATTGTGAGTAATGCTTCGTTTAAGCCTTCGAAATCATGATCAGCAATACAACGATTGGCTGACGGCACAGCAGCGTAATGACATCGTCTGATTAATATTCAATTATCCATGTGAACAAAATTACATAAAATTCATAGTAAACTGTTTGTTAAATATACGCAATAACTTTACACGTGTTGTGGGCTGCAGACTTTACACTTTCTTATGTCGAGAGTATTTAGCAAATTATTTTGTTTTACATTTAGAGCGAATTTTTCATTATTATGATAGCCTAGGCCTATTCAAGTTTCTTAATCGGCGTGAGATATAACTGGCTGTTATATACAAAAATGCATTTTGATATCGGTAAAGGTGTCTGCAACATTTGTGAAGCATCAAAATCACCAGCATAAAAGCTGTCAATGTGCATGACTGCATAAATTAATATTCCTAAAAAAACTAAACAAAAAATGAACAGTCTAATAATGTGCATGTACATGTTTGTATCTAAAAAGTCCCCCGTGACAGTTTTTGTACTTTTATTTCAGAGTGCAGCTTGCATTAGTTTATTTATAGATTTGACTATTTTAAACTTAACTACTACTGAACGAAAATATCAGCATTCGATACATACTTTTAGTATTTGCTTGAACTGACCTGATCTAATCCTGTTTATATGAAATGAGCCTGCTCCTGAGCAGGTTTGAGTTACCAGAACTGTTGCTATGACAACAACTCTCGAATGAGTTTTGACGAACTAAACAATCCTGGATCGTGTCAAATCATCAATAACCAAATCCAGTTAATTGAGTAATCAACGTACGAAGAACGAACCCCAGATCTTTGTAAGATTATTTGACATGGGAAAAAATCCACAAAATGGCAATCAGTGGGCAAGGAGAAATAGATATAACCGAAAAAAATTCATGCAGTTTTAAGAATAGTGTCCCAAAAGCAGCTAAGCTTTATACAAGACCAAAACATTTGTGAGTGGCAGCACTGTCACTTTTAATTCTTTTATTGCGTCTTTCCTTTTGATGTGCATGTGTCTCACCTGATAAGTCTGCCATTTTCAACATAATACTGTGCTCTGAAGTGAACAATCATTGGAGGTCCAAACTGGTCAATTCCCTGCAAAATGGCAAGAATTAAGTCGAAATGTAAAAACAACAAATTAACTAAAATTCCAAGGAGATCAAAGAGTGCATGTGTGATACCTTGCTGGCTTCCCGTTTCCACTCTTTTGGGCAGTATTTCGACAGTTTCTGTCCCAGTTCCATGTATATGTGTTCATTGTCTAAAAGGAAAAAAAGCACAAAGAACTCATAAGCTTAGGTCTATAATGTTTATCTGTGTAATGGATAATGGGGGAAATTACAAGCATAACTGCGGTAAGTACCGCAAAATAAACCCTGACAGAATGATTAAAACCCCAAATCAAAGCATAAAATTTGATAATAACCAGCAAACCATACATTATTCCACTAGCTACATGGCTACTTTAAAATATATATATATGGACAATGAAAATACAGTTTTAATATTTAATGATCATGATGATTACATTAGAATGAAGACGTAGATGACAAATAAAATCTGAATGCATGAGATAATAATCAATACAGTGTAGCATCCTATAATTATATATACAGTGCTCAGCATGAATGAGTACAGCCTCTTTTGAAAATTGAACATTTTTATCCATTTCTCAGTGATTTGAGTAATTTGATCAATGTATTTTGATGCATTTAACAAAATAGTTTTATCAAACGGTTATATCCATTAAAATGATATTGATAAGGGTGTCTAACATTTGACCAGATTTAGTGATACATTTAATCCCTTTGATAGCTACTAAACAATTTTAAATTTTTTTATCAAGCAACTTTAATTGTTGAAATATCCACTTTTCTTATTTTTTTTTTTTACATTTTGGCATAAAAACAGTTTTATTTTTTTTACAGTGGTTGTTTTTCTTCATAATGAAATGGTCTGTATTTAGTGGATTTTGAAGAGATATTATCTGGGTTTCTAAACATTAAATTATCAGAAGCATAAAATTGTATTATGTAAAAAAATAAAAATAAAAAATAAAATAAAAATGCACTACATTATATTATTGGCCAATACTAAACTTTCTATATCAGATCAGTTGGAGGCAAAATTATTATCCATTTTTCAAATATTTCAAAATTGATGGTTAACCTTATTTCCTAATATCCTTATTTCCAGTATTACATAAACTACTTTTACTTCTAAAGGAAGACTCATTTCCTGTAGATCTTTAAAGGTCCCATGAAATTAAAATAACGTTTTTTACATGTTAGAATCAGTATTGTTTGTTTTTAGGATATCTATAAGCTAATGTGCTCCAAAACGGAGACAAAATTCATGTTTAGAAGATAAAACTTGTATAAACACGTAAGGATTGTAGTTTGTCACGATCGCCTAAATAGATCAATGTTTTTTTTTTTAACGTCACCTGATACTTTAGTTTCTCATCAAAACTTAACCAACCAAATGCTCTCTAGTGTCTGACATGCCCCGCATCATTTAAGACGCTTCTCATTTGATGAACTTAAGCTCAACCACTCTCACTGGCAGAGTTGTGACGAACTATTGGCTGTTTTATAAAAAGGGGAGGAGCAACACTGTCCCACCCTCTCTTAGTGCCTCGGTTGAGATTACGCCAAATAAAGATGCACACTTCAAAGCACTTCAAGGAACCTTTAAATGCATAAGAAAGGCTCATACAGAGTTCATTTGCATGTATGTATGTGGTAGTGTTTTTGTGCCTTACTCTGAATAACACTGAGGCCAAACAGATGGCAGTCCTTTAACCTGAGCAGATCACAGACCTGCACCAACAACTCCTGACACACGGTCTTAACCTGAGAAAACAACAGAGAAAATTACAGACAGCCCAATTCAGCTGTAATATACAATTCTTCCTCAAAAAAACTGATTTACAAATCTTACTTCAAGCCCCAAATTTTTTAAATAATTTATAAGAAGAACCCAATAAGTCATGTTTAAAACCTGATGTGTGATATTTGTCATTTAAAATGGTTTTATGTACGTGCAAACTGACTTGCAGTGACCTACTAAAATACTGAGATATAATTTGTCATTAACACACACCCCTCATTGATGTGTCAGACAGAGAGTGCATGGTGTCATACTCACACTGACTATTACGTTGAGCGTTTCATCATTCGGGAGGAACACACACACACACCGGCGGTCCTGCATCATCTTGTTATTGTGGAAAGTCAGTTTGCTCATGTTTGAGAGGCTGCAGCCTGTAGATTTGTGCCCCTCACTGGAGCTCCACCCTCAAGCGCCGCCCAGTCACGGTTGGATCAGATAATACGGACACACATGAAAACAAATCTATGCTCACACACAATCGGAAACTGCGATCTGAGAAACTCAACCTCAGTCTCAAATCAAATTTCACCTAGATCAACACACAATTACAGCAGCCCCACTGCAGACTCTGAAACACAAAAAAAGACAAACAAAATGTATCAATTCAACAATAATACAATAGGAAAACATTACTGATAAGCACAGTTTGACAGGCAGCTTTACAAATGTTTGACAGAAGTCTTAAAAGATTTACTGGATATTTGAGGGAATGTGAAAACGCATCACTGAAACTATTGTTTAGGAATTAAATAAACAAGCAAAAATGATGTAGTTGGAAGCAATGCATAGTTATGTTCATGGATGTATAACACAGACTTTCTGATGATATATAGGTGGAAAATATGATGCAGTACACGTTAATTTCTTCTTCCATTTCTTTTCTTGTTTATATTGAGCATTGCAGTAACTTATATAAAAAAAATCTATTATTGTTAGAATTAGCTTATATTAAAAAATACAATTAATGTTATACAATTAATACTATACTTTGTCCCGCTTATAACACGCACATTAAATATTTATATTAAAGCAAATAGACACAGTTCATAACAATACTGAAAACCTTGTGTTGACAAATTACCAAAAAAAATAACAATTATTACTCATCTGCAAGTCAAGTCATATCTTGTAAAGATTAGCTAGCTAATGTTTTTAACCTGACTAATTCTTGTCATTTTTATGCTAAAGCTTTTATCATCGTTTTATTTTCTCCTCTGTAGACTAATCCAAGTCTTCTACTAAACCTATGAAAACCTGTTTGAATGAGTACATTTACAAAGAAATGCTTCATGTTAAGGGCCGCAAAATTCTGGGAAAATATGTGATATGCCATAAGGTTGTGGAGTGTTGAGATAACAATATTTTTTATGATATAACTTAAGTTATTTGATTAGCAATTAAAAACAAACATCTTATTAATTAGAAAAACATTTGTGAATTAGTTCTGAAAAATATCTCTTGAAATAATATAGACTTTAAAACACCAAGAATGAGCCTTAGCGGAAATTCTGATTCTCATTGGCTGTTTTCATTTTCTTCGCTTGTCTACCAGCATTAGTATTTACTTTCAGCTCTAGGTTCATTTAATAGCAAATACTGGAGAGGTAGGGATGAAGATAGTAAAGGCCCCATCTGATTGGTCAGATTTGAATAAACAACCTATAGATGCTGCACACAAATGCTTGACACATTAAACTAATTTAATATTGCATATACTATTGGCCTAATAACAATTTTCCAATAAAGTGTGCAGCCCTACCTTACCCTGACAAAAATACAATCCAACTGATTAAGTAAGCCAATTTCCAAATACACAAAAATTAAAGGGGACCTACTATGCCTCTTTGTACAAGGTGTAAAATGAGTCTCTGACGTCCCTAGAGCAGGGGTGCTCAATCCTGTTCCTGGAGATCTACCTTACTGTACAGTTTAGCTCCTACCCTGATCAAACCCACCTGAACCAATTAATTAGGACCTGAAATCCACTTGATAATTACAGACAGGTGTGTTTGATAAGGGTTGCAACTGAAATCTGCAGGAAGGTAGATCTCCAGGAACATGATTGGCCACCCCTGCACTAGAGTATGTATGTGAATTTTGAGATCTAAACACCCAACAAGTAATGTTTTATAACTCTGTAAACTGCCCTTTTAAGGCTTTGATCCTAATTGTGCCTTTTTTGGTGACTGTCACTTTAAATTCAAATGAGATTGTGCTCTTTTCAAAAGAGGGCGGAGATACAAATGCCCAGGGCTCCGTCCAAAATCATATACTTCAATACTATATAGCACGATAAAAACAGTATGCAAGTTGAATAGTATGTCTGAAAAACCGTAAGTAAGAAGTACCAGGGTAACCTACTACTCCCGCCGAGATTCTGAAGTGCATTCGATGCACACTGTGAGTGATATCCCAAAATTAGGCATGGGACGGCAACCGTTTTCAAGGTTTACTGCGGTTTGAAAAAGTCAAGGTTTTAAAACCACCAAAATTTTCTGTAATACTCTTCCTAAGGTATGTGTAAGATTTTTTATTTACATTTTTTTGTTGTTTTTTTTTAAGACAACAGTATCTTCAGCAAAAAAGATTTCAAAAGATGCGGTTTTATATTATAAAGAAATCTGTGTTTTTGAAACTAATGAAGACAGCAGAAGTCAATGATTCATTTGAATTATTTAGCCTGACATGTTTACGTTTCCAAAATATGTTTAAAATAAATATATTGTGTTCAAAGGGGAAAAAAGGTTTGAGCACAATACAGTGATATTTTTATCCAAGGTTATCATACCTTCAGATTCTTTTACCTGTCCATGCCTATCCAGGATGTCCTGCGAGAGAATTCATGAATGGGAGTAAAGCGACGCAACTGACATGGGTACATCACGTGATCAAGACAAAAAAAAATAGCGGATGTATATGCCCGAGTTCCATTCATACTACTCACATTCATACTGTATAGAACATACTTTTCTACCGGTTGAGTATGGAACCAGATTAGTCTCAAAAGAAATTCATGCAAAAGACACAATGTACACATGCGTAGCCAAATTCACGTGCATAAAACCAAATTCACCTGCGTAAAATATTTATTTATATTCACAAAAAAATTTCATGTGTACAAAATAAAAATACATTTTCATTAAATACGTTTCACAAATGCATAACACCATTTGCAAATGTATAAGAGTGTACAAAAAGTTTAGAATGTTTAAAACTTGTGAGCTCATCCTGAATGAGAATGTGCAAATCCTCTTTCACGTACGACTCCCCCTGGATACGTGTGTGTGTTTTTGAGACTTTTCTGCCAGAGTCAGGACTACTCATACCTTTCAGCCAATCAGATGAGAGCTGTATTCAATAAAACCAACTCTGCGCTTCTTTTGTGCAGACTGTTCCTCTCCAGCATGGCGAACGGAGAAAGCAGCAGTCGCACTTTTTTAAAATTTATTTATTTATTTGACCATATCCTCACTCTTTTTATCCATTATTTTGCCGCAGCTCCGCTCTTCTTATTTATTGTCTCGCAGCCCCATGAGCAACATGTATCCTGGTCAGCACGTTGGGTTACCATGCCCTTAGACCCATGTTCGAACCTCACGTAAATAGATAAAAAAAAAATTCATTTTTATTGTCAAGACATATAAAACTGTAAGGTTGTTGAACATTTGAAGTTCTAAAGCAGCTGTTTTCTTGAAAAAGACGTAATAGTGTCATTAGAAACTGAATGAAACTGAAAAAAAAGATATTTACTCAGGTAAGGATCTTTTTTTTTTCAGTTTCATTTCAGTTTCTAATGACACTATTACGTCTTTTTCAAGAAAACAGCTGCTTTAGAACTTCAAATGTTCAACAACCTTACAGTTTTATATGTCTTAACAATAATAAAAAAAAAGATATCATCTTAGTTGAGGTTCAAACACAGGTCTAAGAGCATAATAACCCAACGTGCTGACCACTGGACCACAATGGCACTTCAATACTGGCGTGGCCGGAATGATACTTATAATTACCCTGCAGGATACATGTTGCTCATAGGGCTGCGAGACAATAAATAAGAAAAGCGGAGCTGCGGCAAAATAATAGATAAAAAGAGTGAGGATATGGTCAAATAAATAAATACATTTTAAAAAAGTGCGACTGCTACTTTCTCTGTTCGTCATGCTGGAGAGGAACAGTCTGCACAAAAGAAGCGCAGAGTTGGTTTCATTGAATACAGCTCTCATCTGATTGGCTGAAAGGTACGAGTAGTCCTGATTCTGGCAGGAAAGTCTCAAAAATACACACACACATGTATCCAGGGGGAGTCGTACGTGAAAGAGGATTTGCACATTCTCATTCAGGATAAACTCACAAGTTTTAAACATTCTAAACTTTTTGTACACTCTTAAACATTTGCAAATGGTGTTTTGCATTTGTAAAACGTATTTTATGAAAATGTATTTTTATTTTGCGCACGTGAAATTTTTTTGTGAATATAAATAAATATTTTACGCACGTGAATTTGGTTTTATGCACGTGAATTTGGCTACGCATGTGTACATCATGTCTTTTGCTTGAATTTCTTTTGAGACTAATCTGGTTCCATAGTTGAGTACTAAATTCAAATTCAAATGCAGTACCTACTGAGTAGTAGGTGATTTCAGACACAGCCTGTGTGTCAGCATAGTGGCAGATTCAAAACAAGACTAACATCCTATGATTATGAGGAAGAGACTGTCACAAGTGGGCGGGGCTTTCCCCCTCTGATGACAAATACAAAAGGAGAATGTCAATCAAAGTGTTTCTGCAAACTGTTTTTACAAAGTGTGATTATAAAAAAAAATTATATCTTTTTACTATTAGACGCTGGTTACATTCACAGACTGTTGTCACGCAACTGTGTTAAATCCCTTATAAAAGTGATCTTTGCATAATAGGTCCCCTTTAAAATATATTTTTGAAAATATACTTAATTTAAAAAGCTGTTACTGGGGTGGTACCTTTTCATAAGATGCATAATGTCATCTTTAAGTACAAATTTTGATCTAAAGTACACAAATTATTACAGTTTGTACTTCAGCAACAGCTTTTGTGCCTTTTTTAGGGAACACTGAAGCACCATGTTTATGTAAGCTTAAAACATCAAGAGTGGATTCCACCACCCTTTTTTTTGACTTTGTATGAGAGAAAGACAGAAAAGACGAAAATGTGCAGCAGTCAGGAGAATTCCACCCAACATCTGTTTCTCATTCCAACAATAGAGGCCTTTGATTCTCTCTTTAACACACACACACACACACACACGTACTACAGATGTGTAACGTTTATATGCATACATAAGATGACAATGACGTAGATTTTGGCTTTTCGTATTACTGTCAGAAGTTCATAAGGGACTGATTTGAAGTAAAAGATTGCCTACACTAACTGTTCAGATGCAAGAAGTCAAACAGCCCAAATGACCTCAAAAACATGACCCTGTACTAAAATTGACACTTATTTTGTAATTGTAAGTTTTTGATTGCACTTCGTTATTATTGTTTATTTATTTCTTTGCTGAAAATTAGAACTGAATTTAGAAAAAGTTTT